ACCAAAGATTTGTTCGCCGAAGTTATCGTGCGCACCAGGTCTTACCTCGAATCGCTGACGTGGCAAACTGTCATTCTCGTAGCCAATCTTAGTATACGCCGGTGTATTGATGGTTGTTTTTACCTCAGAATGGGTTTATGTGAAACCAACCAGCGCGTATGCATGTGTTCAGGAGGTGTTATTACCCCATGCTCGTTCATGTTTCGGCTCATGACGACTATTTGATTCGATGTTTACACTGAAAATTCCTTGTCAGTTCGTGATAGGTAAGATCGCAGCCGATATGACAATAATGCAATTTGATATGTCTTCTTGACCCCGCGCTGCGGCCGTTGCGGTGGGCGACGGCATCGGTCTTTGCGAGACAGGCTTGGGTGGCCGATTGGCGAGTTTTTACACGAATTAGCTAATCGATACAACACCGCCGCGACTGACACACGACTAACGTAGGCAGGCAGACCGCCGACTGCGAGAGGCGAGAAGCGAGAGCAGCAGAGAGACGGCATGCGGGGAGTGCCGAGAAGAGAGATGAAAGACTAGTGGGAGACGCCAGATAAGCGGTAGGCGAAAATACGCAGGTCGACGGTTCTACTAATCACGCCGAAACTATCTTTTTATGAGGCGAGGATGTACAAACGCGGTGTCAATCCATTTATCGGAAACCCCCTCTCGAAAGCACGATGTGCCCGAGAGCGATGTCCGTGTGGCGAACACTCGGCGCATGTTACGCTGCCCGCCTATTACGCATCTCGCCGCTGCCCGCCTTAATTCGCGCGCGCGCGAAATGCGTATTAGGCTGGGAGCCTTTACTGCAGTAAGCCAGCATCCTGCGGCGCCGCTAGCGCGCGGTCCCGCGGAAGTGCCGCTGGTTAACACTTTCGGCGGATCGGGGCAACACGCATCTATTTGCGCAGCGCAATTATGGCCAATCTTGTTCCGGTCTCTTCTGGTTTGAGATACTAGCTTCGCGTGTTTACGATCTTCTGCCTCAGTGTTGCACGCTGTCTCCCCCCCTCTCTCTTCTGTCTCTGTCTTTGCTTTTCTCATCTCTCTCTCTCTCTCCTCCTCCCTCTCTCTCTCTTTCTCGCTCTCTCTCTCTTTTCCCCCCGCTCTCGCTACCCCCTCTTCCCCCTTCCCCTCTTCCACTCTCTGCCCATCCCTCTCTCCTCATCTCCCCTCATCTCTCTTCCTTCTCTCATCCCCCTCTCTCTTAGGAAATGATCCACCACAACGCCGTATAATCACCTTCGTATGTCCGATCATGCCGTCATGCCTAAATTCACGGAACAAAAAAATGGCCAATCAGCAAAAACACAGAGCCTCACGTCCGTAGTAGGTCGAGTGTCCCTCTCGCTACACTAAAGTTATAGTAACTCGAGCGTTACAAACTCCACGGCGGGGCAGTCTAAGCCTAATTGCCGTTCTTTCTGTGGGAAATTCTCTCCAACATCCCTCGAAGAGAGACTCGTCGCGCCATCTACGGGTAGCGATAGTACCAGAATAAATTCACGGCGTGTAATTAAAGACATTCGAAATCCCTTTTATACCAAAAAAACGAACGCGCCAACCAAAAAAAGTTCCAATTACGACCATTGGAGTTATTCTCGCCCTACGTCCATAATCCAAAAGTTTGTGCAAGCGCCACAACTCCTGAATTGCCCGATTACAGCCCCATTTGACATAACCATTGAAATGGTTCTTAATGTAGACAGCGAGTTATCTGAAATGGCGCCAACAGGTGGCGCGACCGCGCTTCGCGCGTATATCCGCTGCAGACTGTCAAGAGGGAATGCCAATCTTCATCTGATCATGATAAATTTAAATCTATAACAAAATAATATAAATTGTGTATGTCTAGTGTGCGCCGAAACTGTATTGTTAATTAATTTCTGTTTGATGCTTATTCAGGCCTGCTGCATATATGAACGTCCTCTACTGTTTTACACCACCTTAAGTTGTAAACTTATAGGGCCATCGTGGAGGAAACAAAAATTACCCAGTCTCATGTCCCTCTTACAGCGTTAGTAGTGCCAATGTGTGCATGATCAGTTTATGCGCGCATGGATGCGGGTGTACGGGGGGTGTACTCTTGAGTGTTCTTAAGTGTGTGCGCGCAGCTTTAGCTTATTAGCTTTCCAAAAGTCCCGAAGAATCAAAGCAGGATCAAAGAAAATTGTCATAGTAGATAAACACGTACCTGATTCAATTTATTAAGAAAATGGCTTATAAAGGCACATATTTGATGTCAATATTAAAAACAGAGTTGCATGATTGACGTCGCTTACACGAGCCTTATTGTAATAAGAAACTATTATGTATAAGCTCCTGGTCTGAAACCTATAAATATAATAACGAGTACTAACTGTACTATACAAGGAGCATGCAATATACAAATGATGACCTGGCACACATGCACATCTTTCTTTAATTAAAGTCCATTTAAATTAAAATCTACTCTCAGTAGAATTTATGCGTACACACACATTTAATGCGTAATAGTAACAGCAGCCCCTCTTAGTTCCAGGGCTTACTGAAAATAGCCGCTATAGTTGGCAATACCGATTTGGAGTTGTCGGCCATGTGGACTGGATGTAAAGCAGGCTCAGGACTTCCTACAACAGGGCCACTGCTGAGCCTGAAAGTCGATGAACCAATCAGCAAGAAATAGTGTCACTGTTTGAGATCTTTGCACGATTACGTAACACTAAGCAATATGTTATGACATAGCTGTGTAATCTCTAGAAGAATTGTGAAAAAGAACTTGATATATACAAATGATATAATCAGGAGTCAATAAAAACTATTTTTATTGACTGCTGATATAATACAGACAAATCAAATGATATATATACATATTCGCATACATTAGCACGTACCTACTAAGCCTAATTAATTGTTATTAGGCAATCACTAACATAGCCATTTACATATCTGCACAGGCAGTGCTATCTAAAGAGTATTTACAGTATCAAAACAGGACATAAGGATAATCATTGTGACAGTAGGGGGCGCTAGCATAGTATGTGACAGTAGGGCACATCCACTCTCTCACACCTTTTGTTTTCCTAGTAAGGTTTAAGTATTTACTAGTAGTCATTATTGGGGCCATTCCAACCATTGGGAAAGATTACAAGCAGGGCCTGGCAATCCAGAGAGACCGGGTACAAGATGGCGTTGCGCAAAAGATGCGTTGTTCCCCGACCGCCGAGAGCGGTTAAGCCGCGCACTTCCGCGGGACTGGGCGCACGCGACCGCGGTGTCTCGCGAAACGCTCGTGTCGCAGCTATCTGGCGGCCGTAGCGCGGACGCCGCTCTACGAATCGCAATGCTTGCGCCGAAGCGAAGGCGGCGCGCGGAATCGTATAGCGGAAGCGTAAAACATCGCGCAGTTTTCGATTCCACCACACACCCGTGCTCGTATGCGGCCTTCGGTTGGGGCATTTGCTGCTGGCTGTCTGCTGCAGGCGCGCTGGCGTCGGCAGGGGCGAGTTTTTGTTGCCATGTTGCTGCTTTGCGAGTATTACTTAGACTACGTGAAAACCTGCAGCCGGCCACTGGGCAACC